CAAAAACATAAAACATGGTGGGGGCAAAAATGCAGAGCTTGAGAAAACATTCAAACTTAAATTGTCATCAACTTAAAATAGACTGTTACTTTTTTTGACACATGTATAGGTATTTCTACACTTGTTTCTCTAAATTTTAATGGAATGAATTGATGTCCTCAGAAATTGAATACATTTGACTTGAAATCTTTTAAAAAAATAAACTGTTATAAATATAAGTTATTTTATGTAAGCTTCATGGTAACCACAAAGCAAAAACCTATACTAGATACACGAAAGAGAAAAAGAAAGGAATCTAAGCCTACCAATACAGAAAATCATCAAATCACACAGAAAGAGAGCAAAAGACAAAAAAAAGAACAAAGGAATTACAGAACAGCCAGAAAACAAATAACAAAATTGTAATGAGTTCATACTTATCAATAATTACTTTAAATGTAAATGGACTAAATTCTCCAGTTAAAAGACATGAAGTGGCAGAATGGACTAAAAAAACAAGACCTATCTACATGCTGCCTACAAGAGACTCATATCAGTTGTAAGGACACACAGACTGAAAGTAAAGGGATGGAAAAAGATATTCCATGCAAATGGAAACTAATAGAAAGCTGGGTGAGCTATACTTATATCAGACAAAATAGATTTTCAAAAAAAGACTGTAATAAGAGACAAACAGGGTCATTATATAATGATAAAGAAGTCAATTCAACAAGAAGATATAACATTTGTCAATATTTATGCACCCAACATAGAAGCACCTAAATATACAAAGCAAATATTAACAGATCTAAAGGGAGAAATAAACAACAATATAATAATAGTAGGGGACTTTAATACCACAATTTTATCAACAGATAGATCATCCAGACAGAAAATCAATAAGGAAACATCAGCTTTAAATGACACACTAGACCAGACGGTCTGAACAGATACATACAGAACATTCCATCCAAAAGCAACAGAATACACATTCTTCTCAAGCACACATGGAACATTCTCAAGGATTGATCATATGTTAAACCACAAAATGAGTCTTAATAATTTAAAGAGATTGAAATAATATCAAGCATCTTTTCCAACCATAATGACATGAAACTAGAAATCAATTATAAGAAAACTGGAAAATTCAAAAAAATGTGGAGATTAAACAATATGCTACTGAACAACCAATGGATCAAAGAAGAAATCAAAATAGAAATAAAAAAATACACTGTGACAAATGAAAACAGAAATACAACATACCAAAACTTATGGATGCAGCAAAAGCAATTCTAAGAGGGAAGTTCATAGCAATACATGACCACATCAAGAAACAAGAAAGATCTCAAATAAACAACCTAATTTTACACCTCAAAGAACTAGATAAAGAAGAAGAAATGAAGTCCAAAGTTAACAGAAGGAAGGAAATAACAAAGATCAGAGCAGAAATAAATGTTAGAGACTAAAAGATAATAGAAAGAATCAATGAAACTAAGAGCTGGTTTTTTGAAAAGATAAAATAGACAAACTTTTAGCTAGACTCACCAAGAAAAACCCAGAGAAGACTCAAAATCGGAAATGAAAGAGGAGACATTACCACTGATACCACAGAAATACAAAGGATCCTAAGAGACTACTATAAATAATTATACACCAACAAATTGGACAACCTAGAAGAAATGGATAAATTGCTAGAAACAATACAATCTTCCAAGACTGAATCAGGAAGAAATAAAAAACCTGAACAGACTGATTACTAGTAAGGAGATTAAATCAGTAATCAAAAACCTCCCCAAAAACAAAAGTCCAGGACCAGATGGCTTCAACAGTGAATTCTACCTAACATTTAAAGAAGAATATCAATCCTTCTTAAACTCTTCCAAAAAATGAAAGAGGATGGAACACTTCCAAACTCATTTTATGAGCCTATCATCCCCTAATACCAAAACCAGACAAGGACACCACAAGAAAAGAAAATCACATTTCTGTTAAATTTATTCCTAAGTATTTTCTTTTTTTGATGCAATTGTAAATGAGATTGTTTTCTTAATTTCTCTTTCTGATAGTTTGTTATTAGTGTATAGACATGCAACAGAGGGTCGGCCTGATGGCATAGCAGTTAAGTGTGCACGCCCCACTGTGGCAGCCCCAGGTTCGGATCCTGGGTGTGCACCGACGCACCGTTTGTCAAGCCACGCTGTGGCAGTGTCTCATATAAAGTAGAGGAAGATGGGCATGGATGTTAGCTCAGGACCAGTCTTCCTCAGAAAAAAGAGGAGGATTGGCATCAGATGTTAGTTCAGGGCTGATCTACCTCACAAAAAATAAAAAGTAAAAAAATAAAAAAATAAAAAATTCTAAAATTTGTATGGAACAACAAAAGACCTCAAATAGCCAAGGCAGTTGAGAAAGAAGAACAAAGCTGGAGCTATCACACTTTCTGATTTCGACTATATTACAATGCTATAGTAATAAAAACAGACATATAGATTAATGGAACAGAATAGAGAGCCCAGATAAACCCACCCATACATGGTCAATTAATTTACATCAAATAAGCCAAGAATATACAATGGGGAAAGGATAGTCTCTCCACTAAATGGTGCCTGGAAACTAGACGGCCTCATGCAAAAGAATGAAACTGGACCACTAACCTACACCATACACTAAAATTAATTCAAGATGGATTAAAGATTTGAATATATTACCTGAAACCATGAAACTCCAAGAAGAAAACATGGTTAGTAAGCTCCTTGACATTGGTCTTAGTGACGGTTTTTTGGATTTGACGCCAAAAGCAAAAACAAACAAGTGGGACTACATCAATCCAAAAAGCTCTGCACAGCAAAGGAAACCATCAACAAAATAAAAAGGCAACCTAGTGAATGGGAAAAAATATTTCAAACCATATATCTGATAAGCAGATAATATCCAAACTACATAAAGAACTCATACAACTCAATAAAAACAAAAAACAATCTGATTAAAAATGGGCAGAGGATCTGAACATTTTTACAAAGACTTACAGATGGCCAACAGATACATGAAAAGGTGCTCAACATCACTAATCATCAGGGAAGTGCAAATCAAAACCATACCGTGATATTACCTCACACCTGTGAGAACAGCTATTATCAAAAAGACAAGAAATAGTAAGTATTGATGAGGATGTGGCAAAAGGGGAACTCTTGTGTACTGTTGGTAGGAACGTAAGTTGGTGCAGCCATTATGGAAAACAGTACGGAGGTTTCTCGAAAACTTAAAAATAGAACTCTCATATGATCCAGCAATTCCACTTCTGAGTATTTATATGAAGAAAACAAAAACACTAACTCAAAGATATCTGCACCCTCATGTTCATTATTATTATTATTATTATGTTTATTATTATTATTGGCATTATTTACCATAGCCAAGACATGGAAGCAACCTAAGCGTCCAGTGATGGATGAATGAATAATGAAGATGTGGTATATATATACATACACATACACAATGGTCTATTATTCAGCCATAAAAATGAAATTAATCTTGCCATTTGCAACAACATGGATGGACCTTGAGGGCATTATGCTAAGTGACATAAGTCAGACAGAGAAAGACAAATACTCTAGGATCTCACTCACATGTGGAATCTAACAAGCAAAAACTTATAGAAAAAGAGATCAGATTTGTTGTTAGAGGAGGTGGGGTGTGGAGAGTGAGGAGCTGGATGAAGGTGGTCAAAATGTACAAACTTCCAGTTATAAGATACATAAGTACTGGGGACGTAATGTACAACAAGATGACTATAGTTAACACTGCTCTATGGTATATCTGAAAGTTGTTAAGAGAGTAGATCCTAACAGTTCTCATCACAAGGAAAAAACATCTGTGTGTGTGTGTCTATAAGATGACGGATGTTAACCAAACTTATTGTGGCAGTGATTTCACAATACGTGTAAATCAAGTCATTATGCTGCACACCTTAAACTTACAGTCTGTATGTCAATTATATATCAATAAAACTGGGCAGAAAAATATAGGCAATTGATTCTCAACTTGGCTCTGCATTAGAATCACCAATGGAGCTTCTGAAGACAAAATCCATTGTCATATGTACACACACATAATTTTTTTTTTCCCCCGCTGGGAAAGATTCTGTTGCCGGGAAAGATTCTGTTGCCAATCTTCCTCTTTTTTTTCTTCTTCCTCCTTAAAGCCCCAGTACATAGTTGTATTTTCTAGTTGTAAGTCCTTCCAGTTCTTCTGTGTGAGCCGCTGCCACAGCATGGCTACTGACAGATGAGTGATGTGGTTCTACGCTGGAAACTGAATCCTGGCCGCCGACGCTGAGCATGCCGAACTTTAACCACTAGGCCATCAGGGCTGGCTCCACACGTAATTTTTAAGGCTCCCAAGGTTATTCTGAAGAGCAGCCAAAGATGTAAAAAGAACAATATCACCACCTAACAGTTTTCAAAGTGAGAGTAGTCCATTTATAAAAATGTCTCATTTAACAGCCACCACTTGCTTTTAAAAAAATGCATCTATAAGGGTGTAAGTGAAAAAGGAAATCTGACACCAATTCAAAAAGCAGTTTGAAAGCAGAAAACTAAAGGCAAATAGAAAGAAACTGCTTTTTTCTAACAGATATTACCTGCTTTTTTATCTCAAAGAAGGAAGCAGATGAAAATAGGAAAAACAAGTTAATAGGAAAGAGAAAAGTAGCACTCTGAATTTTTAGGTTCAGTTTTTAAATTATCTTTTCTACCTTAATAAGCAACTACATCATTAAGCATCGCCTTAACTGATGCCCACATGAACACGCTACAAATAAATCAGAGAACCTCAACCTCTCCCTCACTCCACACCGCAGTGAGAGCTCAGTCTGGGGCGTTGCCTTTCAAGCTGATCACCCAAAACGCCATCTGTAGATTCAGTTGTCCTCTAACACCATTGTCAACTGACTAGTTTGAAAAAAGACAGCACTGTTAAATAGACAGATAAAATAAATTTTCTAAACACGCACTCACACATAATTTAGGGGGAAGGAAATGTTTATTCTTCATTAATCTTTTGAATGCAACCACCATAATTTTTCAGGTTTAATTTAGTAGCAAACTTGATTTGTAACACTTCCAGTTCACAATTTTAAGGCTAAGGTTCCGATTAAGGTAATACGGTTATCAATTTAATATAAACGAAGTTTTTTAAAAAGGCTAAAAGCAGTCTGACCTCTTAAAAGAAAATATAAATGACCAGACTTTAGTCTTACTAACGTAAGTACACTTCAGTACTACAACAGTCAAAGAGAAAGATCTTAATTGAAAATCAGAAAGAAGCACTGCTCTTTTCTTCTGTAACACATACGTTTTGGTCATTAGCATGCTAGTATGAATAAGGCAACGTGTCAAGCACTGGCATACAAAAAGTGTAGCGAGATCTGCTGAAGGAGGGCAGTGGCGGTGGTGGCAGGCAAGTGCAGGGATCCCTCTCCAGGCGGTAGGTACATCAGTCATCTTCTCCTCCACAGAGCAGCAGGAGCGCTTTCTTATAGTCCCCAGATGTGTCACTCTGAAACCCGAATGTATTCTGTTAACCCCATGACTCATAGACGCCACAGAAAATAAGAAACCAAGAAATATCTGGCAACCAATTTTATTCATATGACTTGTCTCCCAAGTGGGTAATCTCTCTGCGTGTGACTTTCACATCAGGAATGTTATACAGGGAGTTTCTTCCCAGCGTAACTTATGTTTAACTTTCTAATTTTACCCCTTAAAGGCTCAGTTCTAAGAAAGTGCAGTATGTTCTTCGCTCCAGTAACACAGAGAACAGGGAAGCTTTTACAACTATATTGAAATCAAGCTTTCTAAATCAACTGTAAGTTTCTATCACATAGTATACATGAGGCTAAGGGGCCAGTGCTGGGACTGCCTGGCTGTTGTGGCTCTGCCTCAAAGACTGAAGGGCAGGATATGCTTCACCTCTGCTTGTCTCAGACACAGAGGTGTGTGATGAATTCATGTTTCAAGCTACAAGTGCATGGGAGAACTCAGTGCTCTTCAGCCCAGCCATACCACAGACACACTAAGTGAAAAGCTTGCTCAATTGAAAGAGAGAGAGAGAGACAGACAGACAGACAGACAGAGAGAAAGAAAGTCAAAAGGCCTTAAGCCAAATTTAATTATAGGCACAGTGTCCCTTGCTTTTAAAAGAACAAAAATGATAGTAATACCTAAGCTCTTTACTTATTCCCGATATGATCTGATTGGTTCTTTCCTGAACTACAAACCAATACCAGAGACAAGGTGATAACAGACAATAAAGAAAGGAAAGACAGATATGAAAGAAAGGAGGAACTAATAAAGACAGCCGGAACCGATGAAAGAGAGAAAGAACACACACACTATTATCACGGGCAAGGGGCTGGCTTTGTTGAGTCATCCATCACCACTACTAAATAATGCTGCTAAGCTCACCAGAGCCTCAGCCTCACCCAGAGCCAATCTTTCACTTGGGAGCGACCATCCGTACTTCAGGAAACGTTCTGCTCAGCTTTATAACTCACAGCTCTAATCACACCACTAAAACTTTAAACTTAACACAAGAATTGGGCTCCCCCATCCATGTCTTGCATGCTATATGATCTGCTGTGGATTCCTAAACATAATTTAAAGAAGGGTTCTACTACCTTAATCATGGAATAAAGAGAGGTGGCAAAATTCTTCCTAAACTCCTTCCTAATGTTAAACAGGTCGATCTCACTCCTGGAGACCACAATTCTGATGACGGTATGATCATCTGTCCCAGCTCCCTTTGAAAAGAAAAAAGGAGAGAGGCACATTGTTTAAAAACATCAAACAGGGCCGGCCCCGTGGCTTAGTGGTTAAGTGAGCGTGCTCCACTGCTGGCGACCCGGGTTCGGATCCCGGGCTCGCACCGACGCGCTGCTTCTCTGGCCATGCTGAGGCCGCGTCCCACATACAGCAACTAGAAGGATGTGCAGCTATGACACACAGCTATCTACTGGGGCTTTGGGGGGAAAAAATAAATAAATAAAATCTTTAAAAAAAATAAATAAATAAAAACATCAAACATAGCATCAAACTGCCCTGAGTTGGGGTGAATCAATAAAGCAAAACAATTTAGTAGAATTGAGCTATACATTTTAAGAAGAAAGAAAAATCCCAAAGTCTATTATCTAAAACATAATCACAGATGGAGAAAGATAACAACCAGCAAAATTAATCAGATTGAAGATTCAAGGTATGCACTCACCTTCATAGCATAGTAGAGGGTTTCTGCAAGGTAGGCAGGTATACTTCGAATAGATTTCACTAAGAAAATAAATAATAGTCAGATGCTATTCTGAGATGAAAAGGATTAATTAAAAACCAAAAGCTGCCTCATGCTTATAGCTCTACTTATTTACAAGTATAAAAGTAACACAGGCTAAAGAAACGGTCATTTGCAAGCTGATCTGATCTCCTTGCTCACCAAGTATTTTCTAAGGGGCTCTACTTAGAGTTTTGAGTTCTGCACGGAGAAGCGTGTAGGACAAGGGGCGCGAGTCTCTTCAATACCCCTTTGCTCTACGAGCACCTTTTTGCTACAGCAGTTTTGGCAGCCTGGGCTGTTATGCCACAACCTTCATCCTCAATAAATTATACAAACATCCTGGAAGTTTTCATTCTAAGACATTCAAGCAAATAATACAAGATTATTACTCTATCTAATCTCTGACAGACCTTGGACCCCTCTTCCTGTAATCCTAATCTAGGAATTCTCTCTGTATTCTTTAGCATCCATGATTCACAAAGAGCAGCACAAGACCTCCCCCTTTCAGGAGAAACACCCAGATACACTGGTAACAGAAAAGAGTATCTCCCCTGAACACATACACATCTACTGGATGTTAGGGCTGCTCAGACCTCAGTCTGCTTAGTTTCAGAAACCTATGATATGAAAATTTCTTAATACATAAAAATAAGAATCCTTAATTCTTTTCCAATGCTTAAGAAAAACTGCCACCAATAACTAAAAATGTCATAATTTTTATGTGTATTCTAATTATGAAGGGGCTAAAAGTTTTCTATTAAAATTCACCTAAGGCACAGGCCAGCCCCGGTGGCCTAGTGGTTAAGTTTGCATGCTCTGCTTCGGCAGCCCGGGTTCAGTTCCTGGGACACGGACCTACCCCATTTGTCACTGGTCATGCTGTGGAGGTGGCCCACATACAAAAAGAGAAAGACTGGCACAGATGTTAGCTCAGGATGAATCTTCCTCAAACAAAAAGAAGATTGGCAACAGATGTCAGCTCAGGGTAAATTTTCCTCAGCAAAAAAAAAAAAAATTCACTAACTGCAGACTCAAATGAAGGGCTGTTAGTGCTGGTTCAGCCACAGCTTTCGCTTATTCGCCAGTAGACAGAGAGCACAAAAACTTAAGCTCAACACCAAACACCCAGAACAAACAGCAGAGAGAAGTTCACTTCAAACTCATGTGAACACTAGGACCACCGGGAACTCACAAACTAGAGTCTCCCTGAATTTGGAGACTACAGAACACTACAATCAACTGCACAAACTCAGTTCTCCAATTTCTTCCAGGTTATTCTGGAATATTTAGCTAAAATAAAATTCCAAATTATTTAATCTGAAAACAACCATCATCGCATCTTCCATTATATCAAAGATACTTTTTCTAAATCACATGCCAATTTCTCAGTCTGCCTCAAAGCTGTGAGGACGGTATTCAAAAGAATTCTAAAATTCCACAGATATTAGAAATAACACTGAAAAGCCTCTGAGGTAAAACCCACAACATTTCAGGTTCATGATGAAATAGTAATTATTTTTAATGCAGCTTCAAAATAATTTTTAAACAATTCTCTTAGTATTTCCACAGGATTAGATGAACTAACCAGATAATCATGTATTTTCAACATCAAAACAGACTTTGAGAATTGGAAATTGAGGAGTTTGCTACACCCAAAGATCATGTCAAGTTCTTTTCATGAAGAAATAGGTGGGTATTCTCAGACAGAGCTTCCACTGCATAAAATACTTTAGCTCTTAACACCATAAATATTATATACATTGTAAAATTACCTACCGACAGCAAGGAGTAGTTGCTCCAAATTACCAGAAGTCTCTCGGTCAATGGTTTCTTCAATTTGAAATCCTGATATAGTCATGTATTTGTCAAACACTAAAAAAATGAAAATGATTTCTTCATCACATAAGGATTGCTATTTCCAGAAAGAAAGTATTTCCTCTGACCAGGTATTATCCTACCAAACACAGATCTCCCCTTTTTCCCCCTTTTTTCTTGCTGACAGAATCCTGATTTTGTTCAGAACCTCAGTGTGCCAAGCCCTAAACAATGGCTTCTAAGTGTTCTCTGTTCACTGATTTTCCAGCCCCCCCTTTCTAGTGAGACCTAAAGGTAAATCTGCTGGAAAGAATTCTCAGAAATCTTTCTGTTTCCTCATAAAAAGTGATAGACAGATATGACTGTTTACCCCTTTCTTTTCTTCTTGCTGTGAAATGGTTGATATGTTTGGAGCTACAGCAGCCATCTTGTGACAATGAGGTACTGAGTATGAGAAAGAAAACCGAAACACTAAGGACAGTGGAGCAGAAAAACAGAAAGAGCCCAGGTCCTGCCAAATCAGCCAAGGAATCCTACCCACAGAAAGCCCAATTTTTAAAGCTGCTATTAGTATGGTTTTCTATCACTTGCCATTGAACTCATTCCCAACTGATAATACCACAAGTATTGATGAATATCCAGAGAGGAGGTCTTGGTACCACTATCTAGCAGGAAATACACGTAGTGAGCCACTACTTAGTGATCTGTGACTATGAGAGTAACACTGTAGAGGCCCACCTCCCTTGTTGCCCTCTGACAATGAAGGCTGGACTAAGGATCTCTAGTTTTGTAAAAGCTACAATAGCAGCAGAGAACTATGAGATTTCTCAAGGTCACCAAAGGAAGAAATAAATTAATTGATTCATTCACTAAGTGCCCATTAAGTAGCAGGTCTTTTGGCATACTGGCTCATGTACTCTCAAAACTAACCCAAGTATCTGTATCACACAGATTTTTTTCACTCACCCCTTCTCAAATGAGACACACTACGTGTTCCAAAGATAGTGATGAACTTTTCTTCATCTGTCCCCCATTTAAGTTCTCCAGCCCGAAACAAAGCCTGTGAAAATTTCAACTTCAGTTAACAAACCGTTCCTCCACCTCATTTTTAGGTTCTTATTGTGTTTTACTCCCTGAATGTTAATTTACCTGACTCATCATTTTACACCTTTCATTCCTAATGTTTCCTCCTCGGAAACTCAGCCCACTGAGTCTGGAGCTACTTCGGAGCCTGCCACTCAACTGGGCCACAGGAGACGAACAGGTCAAAGCAAGAAAGCAGAGCAATGGTGCAGGTTAAATGTTCCAAAAACGTCTGCCGAGACTTCCAATCCTCCAGGAGCGATGGTGTGGGTGGCAGACAGTTCTGATCACCTCACTGTTGACACAGCCATTCAGACTGTGGAAGAACTGAACTAGGAGCTAAGCTGTCTGCACTCTGTTTTACTTTCTCTGTAGCTGCTCAATAACACATGATAAAAATTAAACTCCACATTTTTCTCTTTACAACTGACATTGAACCAAAGCTAGCTACAAAAAGTTTTCATATTTCTGAAAGATCACAATGTATGTTTAAAAGGTGGTGGGACTAGCAGCCATATGGCAGGCACTTAACATAAACCTGTGGAATAGTTTGAATGTCCATATTTACTTTTTGATATGGAAAAGAATATATGCTTTCCAGTGTTCATATAATTGCTGAAAAAATAAAATTATATACAAATATCAAATCTGAGTCCACTTATTGAGATGTGGATAATTTATTAAAACCCAAAGAATCAACCTTTAAAATGTCCACACTACTCTCTTAGTTATTCGCTTCAAGGTAAGTATAACTATTAAGCAGGACGAATGCAACTTGCTGAGGCTGCTGCTTTGAGCTGGCCTCAGGCCCACAGTGGCAGACCAGGTACGGACAGGAGGTGGTCACAGCACACGTCTGGATGTAGAAACTTTGATCACAGTATGTTTAAGGATGTAGATTACAGTGGTATCGGTCTATTTTTTATTATATTTACAGAGAATAAAAAAATAAGACATCTTTAAATTCAATTTTGAAATTAACTTATTTTAATGATAAAAATAAACAGTATCAATCCTGGTCACGTGAGCATGGTCTTCAAAATTGGAAAGAGAGTTATCACGAAAGTCATACAGGTATCTAAACTTTAGATTATGCTACAGCCCTGCCTTAAAATAACTTTTTTAGGAGCCGGCCCAGTGGCGCAAGCGGTTAAGTGCTCGCGCTCCGCTGCGGCGGCCCGGGTTCGGATCCCGGGTGCGCACTGACACACCGCTTGTCAAGCCATGCTGTGGCCGTGTCCCATATAAAGTGGAGGAAGATGGGCATGGATGTTAGCCCAGAGCCAGTCTTCCTCAGCAAAAAAAGAGGAGGATTGGCAGATGTTAGCTCAGGGCCGATCTTCCTCACAAAAAAATAAATAAATAAATAACTTTTTTAATCTAATTACAAAAATAACACACATTCATTGAGAAATTTTATAAAACAGAGAAAAAACATAAGAAAATAAAAATCACCATGAATAACAACATCCTGAAGATACTAGTTACTACGTCTAGTATGTTTTCCACACACAGGTAAGATACACATACATTAACACCGGAAGGGGGAGGGTTCGTCCTGTACAATACTGCAGGCATTGCTGAAGCACTCCTTTCTTACAATTGTTCTATGTTTCTAGGAATTTTCTCTAGTAGGTACAGCAGTTGAGCCTGCTGCATGGGAATAATTGGTGAAATGGCTATTTTTACCTATAATCTCGTAATTTTCTTGGAAGAATTATGTTTGGGATCAATATCTATTCTAAAACGATTATTAAGTAAATCATATGCAATAATGACAATGTCTCTTCACGTAGAGCAATGATATTTAAAAGTTCTCCTTTGTCTTGTTTTCACTAAGGATCTTTTCTTGTAAATGAGGATGCCCAATATCCACAGAGCTGTTGTGGACGAGGACCCTCACACCTCCTCACCCTCCCCCTTCCCTCAGAGGGGGCTTTACAGTCTAGCCTGAGCACAGTCTCATAACCTCTGGTTCAGTGCAGAGTACAGAGGCTTTGGAGTCAAAAAAGACCTGTCTTATCTGGGAGTCTTAGATGAGTTAATCTCTTCTAGAGCCTCAGTGAACTCACCTACAGAGCAGAAATGATGTGTCGATAGTCATTAATGGATATAAACTTATGTAATGAATGCATTGAACAGTGTCAGGTAATCAACAGCACATGCTCAATAAATACTGATTCCCTTCTTCCCCCTCCTGCCCCCAAGAGCTCAACTTTTCTCCAGAGAAAGCATAAAATAAGGACTCAACAGGGGCAGAGGTAAAATCAGTTTAACACAGTAAAATTGTTAAAAATTAAAGTGGATTATCTACAAATGTTCAATTCCGAGGTGAATGACTCACAGTGGCTTATCAAATCCCTGAAATAACAGGAATCCTCCAAGTGCCAGGTATCAGTAGAGAAAAAAATTCAAAAGCTTATGAAAGGGCCCTTCAGTTAGCTTACTCTCAAATTAAGAAATCTTAAATTCCCACTAGTGATAACAGTCCAGCTGCCCTTGCTGCAAGGTATAAATGGGTGTGTTCCTTTTTATGATGCTGAAAGGATAATTGTTTTCAACAGCCTCAATTAAGTAACACATTTTTTAAAATCAAAGACTAATAGCCATTGTAAGATGTTCTGTGTTGTTCTGGTCACTGAAAAGGTAAGGAAAGGCTGGATGCCATTCAAGGGATATTTTAAAGTAACTTCATCAGACAGTTTTCAGATGTACCAAGTTTCCCTGTCAGGGTCCTGAATGGTCATAGCCCCACATAACAAGTAAGTGACACCCCTACAGCCTCGGGACTCAAAGTGTCGTCCCAGGACCAGCACGGGCATCACTGAGAGCTTGTCTGAGATGTAGAATCCCAGCCCTCCCCCCCCAGCCCGCACCGGGACCTACTGAGTAGACTCTGCAGTTTAAGGAGACCCCCAGGCGTTTCATAGGCACGTTAGTCTGGGAAGCATTGGTCTACACACTTGAGTGCAGAGGAGAGAAATCAAGGAAAATGAGGTGAAAACGTCATGTTCCTGCTCAGTGGCCTCACACTGCAGCAATGCTCTCATTCCATCACTGGCTGTGCTGGGAAATCTGCCCGCTAACAAGGCCTCCCTGCCGTCTCTGAGCCCGCTGCAGCTGTCTTCCTTCACCGTTACCATTGACAAGCATCGAGAACTCCTACTCCTGAGAGCAGGCGTGTGAGAATCAACACCGCCTCCCACCAAGCTCACAAATAATTAACGCCTGGAAGGATGTGAGGTCGTCTCAGCAATGAACCAAACCGCTAAGAGCTGGGGGTACAGGTCTGTAGGGCTGCTCCAGCCCCTGCCCCTCAAGAAGACAGAATTAAGCCAGATCTGTGCTTCCAATCAGAACCCCTTAATACTGCAGGGGAATGAGAGAGAGGGGCTAACAGACGAGGACACTGAGACCGTTGCTGTCTAGGGAAAGAGAAAGAAAGGGCTTTGGGGTCAGACAGACCCAGGTGGGAAGCCAGCTCCACTACTACTCAGTGGGGGCCACGGGCTGGTCTCTCGAATCCCTCCCTGAGCCTCAGTTTCCTCATCTATAAAAGGGAAGTTATCCCCTCTACCATAGAGTTCTACACTCACCAGTTATTTATCGAGTGCCTACTGTATGCTAGGAGCTGGGAGTACAAATTGAATTGACAGCTCAGAGTGCCCTGGGTAGGCGGTCAGGTAAAGAGGCAGCTTCAGTATAAGGTGGCACGGACTGTGACAGGAAGCTTGAGATGCTACATACAGTCTTCCCTGTAAGGAGCACCTGACATACACTGCGGGGGGTCAGGCCGGGCAGCCTGAAAAGTAGCTAACCTGGGGACTGAGCCTTGAAGAGGAATTAGTCAGGTGAATGGGGCAGGGAGGGGCAGGAAAAGAAACAGAACGAGAGCAAGCGAGACTGGAGGCGTAAGCAAGCAAGGGATGGATAACAAATAAAGAGCTCAGAAACCAGATTTAGGGGCTTGGACTTTATCCTGAGCACAGTGGGAACTACTGAAGGGTTTTAAGGTTGTAAACAGGGAAGCAAAACAATAGGTTTGCATTTTATAAGGGACGGTGAGGCGAGCGTCAAATACTGCTGACAGCCCTCAGGAGACGTTCCATTTCCTTTCCTCTCTCCCTCCTCTTGGAATGCTGTCATCTCCTGCTAGGCAAAGAGATGACAACATTCCAAGGCCATTATGAAACCAACTCAAAGAATAATGCTCTCCTCATTCCTAGTAGCTAAGTCAGATCACACACATCCAATGGTTGTTCAATAGAGAGCAGTCAAGTAGAGAAGTGCATCTGCCTCCTCCTTCACAATGGTGTATGACTAACAATCAGAAATATATATTTTATTAGTTGAAACATGTGACCAGAGAGACAGGGCTCTGATATGTGACTCTAGGAACACACGTAATTCCTTTGTTACCAACTTCCTGTTTTCAAGTCTCATGTTTCAAATTCTCTAACACTTATTCCCCTCATTTCATTATGTTATCAACCGCACTGAGATTCTACTGGGATTTAAAAGCCCCCAAGTGCAAAATTTCATTTGGGAGTCACCAGACAGCAGCTGATAAAAGAACAATCCTATTTAGAATTCCATCAAAGGAAAGGTGGAGGAATTTCTAAATACCACAATAACTTGTCATCTATTCTGTAATAAAACACCATTTATCACTAAAATATTTTATTCTTTCTTCATCCTCTCCTGCCAAGAGACCTACTGCCTCATTAGCAGCAGAATCAATAACACCTGTTTTTTGTGTGTAACATTCTCTATTTTGTAAATGTTCTATAATCACAAAAAAGTAACCTATGCAGGTGGAACTCATTATTTATATGTAATTTATTTTATTTCATTTCAGTTTTTGGATAAAATATTTTGTTGACCAGATCAAAATGAGAGAAATCGACTTACATGAGCCTGATGAGTTGTAAAGGACCCATAAATAAGATTATTTTTAGATGTTATTACAACATACATTATGATTTTTCGTTAGCATGGATTCTCTTGTTCATTTATATGTCACAATAAAGTCATCACATACCAGGTCTCACTCACCTGAGCATCTTGTTCGACCTGCGCTTCATCAATTCTACCATCAGGGTCTCTGTTAGCCTATAAGAGATGATATGTCTCACTATTGAATTACATGAGCATTTTCAGTCAAAAGGAAAAATGGTTCCACCTAATGGTTATGCACATAAAGCTGTTCCTCTTAGGAATAATATGCTTTTATTAAGATCACTATCAATCCTACCATATTTCACATTATCACACAGCACTGCCCAAGAGCAATGTGACCCTCTTGATTTTAAATTCTGTGAAGAAAAGAGGATAGTGATATTCAAAAAAGCATGAATTAGCTATTAAGAGTTTAGGTCAGATATTCTGAAACACAAACAAACACAGGCACTATACACCAGAATCAAGCAAGTAACAGAAATAATCAAAAGAATTTTAAGTGACCTTACTTAACTAGATTCAGATCAGTCCAGCTTCAGATTTTAAATCAAACCATAAATAGTCTCCACCCAGTACCTGAAGGAGCACCACCAACATCCTCTGGTAGAACCCTGAAGTATCCCCCACCACGTCATCTTCCAGGTTTGAGCCATATTCTGCAACAGAATAATTTCATACTTATTTATAGCTTTCAACTAGAAAAAGATATCTTGCCCCATTAATCAAATGGGAGAGACACAAAGGAAGAAATACCAGATTAGCATAAACATTCTCTACTCTGTCCCTGAGTGCTCTAAAAACTGAAGGCAAATGCTTCAAGTGAGTAGCTGGACAAAAAGAAATTAAAGTCTCCCAAAGGCACTCGATTTAAGCCTAAATCCTGATTCAGCCATTTAGAAATGCTCTCAACCAATGTGGTTATTAATCTGTAGAAACACGATGGTACTGGAAAGCCTCTAAAATGGGATCAATCATAATTTTAAACTGTTTTGCTTTGTTTCAAACGTTGTACGTGATTAGTTTCCAAAGGTCTTCCATCCTCTCATATTCTGAGTTTTCTTTCTTTAGGCAGGGCCATTCTTTCCCCTAATAAGATGTTTTTCCTCTGTAGCAAATAAAGTTAACTCTGACAGACAGCAGTGATATTTTAAAATATGCCCCTTCCCACCTCTATTTCTAGCTATTCAACATAATTCCATAGGAAAGGGGGAAACGGAATCTACAAAAGTCTACAGCCCTTTTCACTAACTCGCAAAGAGCTGCTACTGAAGGAAAGCAGGTATTACTCTAGGGCATTTAAATATTTAATCATTTGAAAGCAAACAAACTTTAAAAGCCCAAAACTTCTATTTTAAAAGATCTAAGAGTTACATGTTTATTTCAACTAGTTACCCAAATACAAAACCTTGAAGGCATCCCTTCTTTCTCCCTCTACTCCAACATCTATACATAATTAACTATGAAATCCTCTCAAATATTTCTCCTCTCTGATTTCTCCCCTCATACCTCCCACCATCCTAGGCTGGGCCATAATGGCCTAGCTTACCTCCCCACACACACAGCTACCTCATCAGCCTCCTGATTCAAATCTCCTTCCTCCCTCAATTGTTCCTTCAATACTCCACTGCCCATTCAGGAACTTACAGTACCTTTGACTCAAGTCCAAACTTCTAATCCAGTCATTCAAAACCATCTATAACATTACCTGTGTTTATTCAATTCATCTCTCACAGTGCACATGCACATAATTCTCCACTATGGTCAGGTTCTCTCCATTCCCTCAATGTACTTTTCTCACTCCAGTCTCCATGCTATCACAGAGAGAGACCAAAATACCAAAAATGCCTTCTTCACCTACCCAAAACCCACCTAATCTTGAAATCGTGTCTGATTGCACCACAAAGCCTCTCCTAACATCCAAAGCCATGATGACCTCTCTCCTCCAAATGAATTCTTGCATTAAACATTTTTGGTGTTTAGATTTTAATATCCTTTAACTATTGCAGTTTTTCTAAGTCATGTCACCCCTAAAAAGACTGCAAACTCCTTGAGGACAGGAGCAAAGTTATGTACAACTTTTGTGCCATTCATAACAGCCAGTACACTGCCAGACATGTAGCTAGTGCACAATCACACGACTGAGAAGGATGGACCATCTGTAGTTATCATTCCCTGTGGCACTCCATTTGTCATCCAGCAGTACAAAGGCTCGTTCACCAATGTCAACATCCCCAAAGAGATCTCTGAATATCACATCAAATAAAACTCAAAGGTGACCACCTGCAGTTGAGATATGTGTCACATCTGTTTTAGTGGTTGGGACCTGTCCAGCTACAAAAAGAGAAGCAGAGAGAGAGATCCAGCACTTCGGAAAGGTAATTATGTAGTTGCTGTCAACTCCACACTGTTCTGACTTGCTGGGTTACAACGTCATTTCTAAGATTAATAAACTAATGCCCAGATAGGAACCCATTTTCCTAGCTAAAGGCTGGCGGGTCTGTTGACGGAGCTGACAACCTGGATGGTCTGGTCCTCCTCAATCAGGTGGGGAAAGAGACTGTTGTTACAGGAAACCTGACGAGAAAGGAAGTACACTCTACCTTTACTTTTTATTTCATTTACTTGGTTCCATTCACAGGATATGCTTCAGATTGAAATATAGATTTTTTTTTCACAAAAAAAGTAAGGCACACCAAAAAGACAAATCACACTGCAGAGCATTCAAGCACTGCCATTAGCTAAAACGACACACATTTACTCCAACCTTTTCATTGACTCTTATTTGGATGAGGTTTCTTTTTCCCAGATTCCAAAAGTGCCTTTTAGATAATTCTTAACTTCTACTAACATAAAACTGTAACTTCTACTAACATAAAACTGAATATTTTTAAGGAAGAAAACCCACTTACATCTTAAAGTTAATGTAAAAGAAATAAAACCTGTATAGCCCTACACTGCATGCAAATCCTACGTCAAGTAAATTCCATCTTCATCGGAAGCTTCTTATAAATACTAAAATAGTTACAGGTCTAGTAAAAGGCAGTCTTTTTTACTGAAACAGAAACCTGGCTCGAATTGTTGCTTATTCATTCATTCATCCAGCAATCATGTACGGCCTGCCCCTGCAACTATGAAGAACTGCATTCACTCAGAGAAATGAAAAAGTGACCTTGGAGACAAAGGAAACATAATCCAAAACATTTACCTTCTTCATAAACTTGTTTTATGGCTCTCAGTTCTGCAGGTGTTCTTGAAGCAATGATTTCTGTCAGTACTTTTTCATTTGTCCCAGCTCCCTGTTTAAAGATTTATTTTTAATAGAGAAAACACGTCAATAAAATTAAAAAGAAAGCTATTTTCCTAGAATAGATGTTACCCAAATAGCATAATTATATAAATATTATCCAACACAATACACACTTCTTTGTATACCAGTTCTATTAGTTACAGAAATAAGAAATTTCAAGTTAATTTTCTCGCCAAAGACAATTTTATCCTTTTCTAATGAAAAATAATGTTTACTGTATGTATATATGTGTGTAATATGACATATAACAGACTATATAAATTTATCAGTTTAATTCTAAATAGTTTAAAAGTAAAACAACTTAATGAAACATGAAATAATAAAAAAGGCTGAAATGGTAAAAAAGAAAACTTTACAAAAATTTACATGGAGAAGCACTGATACTTAAACAATCTGTACCTCAAAACATAAACCCCTGCCACCAAATGAAGTTCTCTATGGATCCACAGGGAAATTCTCCACCAAAGGTAACAATAAATATAGCATCTCCTAGTTACTGGGAATTGGATCAGTATGAAGAAATTGAGACTCGCTTTCTGGATTTTCGAAAAATAATTAGTTGGTTTTCCTTTTTCTGATTATAAGAGTCCTACCTACACTGCTAAATTAGAAAATACAAGCAACAATATAACAACTTAATTTTAAAAGACAGCACATTTAAGCCCCATTCTCTTTAATATTTCTGTTTCTCTACCAAAAACCAAACACTGAAAAACCTAGGTTTACGCTCTGGCAGAACTTCAGCTACTGCTGACATTTCAGAAGCATTTCGCAAAAATAGCCTTTTTTCAATAACCTGAGATTTTGTTTATTCCAAAAGAAATATTGTAGGAAAATTAAGAAAACAAGCACAGCAAGGCTCCTAACTTGATAAACCCTCTTCTCCTTCCACTCCCTAAGTAAGAATCCCCACGCCACATCATCTCCTTGTTAAATCTCAGTTTACCCATTCAAAATCTAACCTCTATCTATTTCCTGTCCCGTAAGTCTAAACAAATGTTTCAGTGTAGTCATATTTATACAATATTCCAATATCAGTCAATGAAATATACATTTAGTTATTTGCTAATGAAATTATAACAAGTTTACCAGCTACCTCATTTTAGTGTTTAGATGTATAGGAAAGAAGGCAAGGGTACTTGAAAATCTTTCTTACGTGGAAATTCTCCCTGAAGCTTTATTTTTTGAACCTACAATGATCAACACTATTATTGTTCCATAATCAGGCAGCTTTCTATTTTAAAAGATAAAATACCTAGTCTGTAACATTTTAAAAACACATCTCAAAACTAGAAAACAAACATGAAAATAAAATATAAAAAGCTATAAAAAAAATTAAAATTTTAAATAGCCACTATTATTGAGTTAACTAAACAAAAAGATTAAACGATACACTTGCAATTTCCTACTTCCTTTTCTTCTTATTGCCTCCTACCCAGTTCTGTCCTCCAAGAAACTCTCACTGAAATAAATCAAATATTTTTTTAACATAAAAAATAAGCTGGGGCCGGCCCGGTGGCGCAAGCAGTTAAGTGCGCGTGCTCCACTGCGGCGGCCCGGGGTTCGCCAGTTCGGATCCAGGGCGCGCACCAACGCACCTCTTGGGAAGCCATGCTGTGGTGGCATCCCATGTAAAGCAGAGGAAGATGGGCATGGATATTAGTCCAGGGCCAGTCATCCTCAGCAAAAAGAGGAGGATTAGCAGATGTTCGCTCAGGGCCGATCTTCCTCACAAAAAATTTTAAAAAAAGCTGAAGTAATTACCAACACAAAATAACATTATTCGTGGCAGGAATGTCCCTCGCACTCCTTTTACCTTAAGAGCGTGCTTCAGTTCATAGGCATCATAAAGCCGAGAGGGTTTCATCAGAGCCACGATTAATTTCTCAAATTTTCCAGTCAATTCTGATTTCAGGTCGTCCAGAAGGTCCTAAACTCACAGAAAATACAAATTTGTTAACCAGGCATAAATTGTAAGGAGACTTTTCCTGAATACGAATGACAGCCCTTTGCTCTAATGAATTCTTTATGTTGCTATCTCCACGCAGACGTAAGGCACCTGAGCTACACAAAGCCCGTAGCTTTGAATAATGTACTTTTGACAACTGACCAAAAGCTTAAACTAAAGCCAAGCCACTTACGTATCAAAGCATTTGCTTTTAAGAGATGTTTTTCTTAACTTCAACAGTTTAAAACAATGACTACTTTAAAAGTGGGCTAAAAATATTTTATTTTAAAATACTGTTGTTGAGAAAAATGTATCTTAAAAAAAATATCCCCCCAAAAAAACCATAAATGCATTTATACAAAGGACAAAATCTGGCCTATCATACCAAACATAACAATTTTTTCTTTTCTCTCAACATCTAGTAACATTCTAATACATAATGGATGCTGTCCATTACTATGCTCCTGACTACTGAGGGACAGCTGCTACTGTGGGGAAATTGTGTATATAATTATGGAAAGAAAAGCAGTATTTCCTCTCCATTTCAGCACACTGGGAAACTAGAAATTATGTTTAAAATACTTTCTTTTTTTTGGTTTGCATTTTTTTCTCAATAAAATGAGGAACACAAATTTTCAGAACAAAATTACATTTGAGTTTTTCAGATATGCACTAATTCACTTAGTAACAAATTTAATTTTTACTTTGAATTGTTAATCAGATAAAAGCATTTAAATCAATCAATTAAAAACTCATTGATTAAAATACCATTCCCAAAGGAACCAAGACTCCAACTGTGTCATAACAAAAAATATTGTAATACAGGTTTGCACCTAGAAAATGGATAATAAAACAATCCAGAGTGGGAAGCACAGAAGAAAAGAAGAGGGGCAGGTTGTCACCAAGGGGTCTTTTGGCACCTCTACAGCCACAAGCAAGGAAAACCAATTACGTGAGGATAAGCTGGGGGAGCATTATATATCAACGGCTGATAATTAAAAAACTGGAAGGAAAAAAAAAAGAGGAGGAGGAGGAAAGTCAGAATCATAAAATAAATGATGTTTACAAAAGAATATTAGTAGATTTCACAACTAGTCTAAAGCATATAGCTGCTCTCACATCCACCTTGGGATGAAGTGCGGTCTTACCCTGCCAAACAGAGTTTTAAAAGCCACAGCAATTTCCTGGCGCTGAGCATTACTTCGGGATGTCAGCAGAGTCAGGATGCTCTCCTCATCCGTGCCTGCAATTTACATTCCAACAATTACACCTTGGCTCCCACATGCCCACCCTCCCAATAGCCTTTGTAACCAGCTCCCCAGTCACTTTAATTCCTTACCTCATAAAAATATTTTTTATATATTTTATTAAATAATTTATTGAACTCTAAAATTTACAATATATAAAATGTTATTATTTCCAACATATACTACCCCCTATTCCAACATATACTACCTTGTGAAGTCAGTGAAAAAATACTCCTGACTTTTTAAAAACTGAATGCACCTCGCTTTTCTTGCAACAAATAGTTACTCAAATGATGGCTATTCACAAGGCACAATGTGTGGGTGTTACAGGGGACTGAGAGAGGAGAAAGATACAGACCCTTCTTGAGGGTTACAGACAATTTAGGATAAAAAACAGAAAAACACACAAAGGCAGAATGTGACCTCAGGAGAGGTCTAAGTGCTAAACAGGGCTCAAAGGGGGTTCTCTTAGATGATAGGAGGCAGAAAGGAGTTTTGGGAAAAGCTCCATGGAGAAGGCGACACCAAAACAGTCTTGAAGGATTTTGATAGGCAGCGACACAAGGAAGAAGGACAGGTTTAGAATGCAGGAAAAGCCCAGCAGTAGGAAAATACAGGGCTTTCATGAAGAGCAGATCGTCCAGCACGGCTGGATCAGAGAACACATAGGCGGTAGTGTGAGCCCAGTCCCACAAGGAGGGGAGGGATACCATGGAAGGCCCTGCAAGGCCAGAAAGCCTGCACCTAATCCTGCTCCAAGAGGAAATCTCAGAAGACGTTCAGAATGGAGAGGGACGGCGTCAGAGCCAAGGCTAAGGAAGGTGGATCCCTCCCCACAGACACGAGTGCAAAAGGAGCCTCAGGACAGGGGATCAGATATCTGTGGAAATCCTCAAGAAGAGACGTTTTTAAATGGCTAGAAAGGAGACTGGGGAAAGAGAAGACAGTTGAATATAAGTTGCAGAACTGAACATCTGATGGCACAGAGAACAGAGAGCTACAGAGCTGATCACTCAGGGGTGTCTGTGTATCTACTCAATCAGCTACCATACAGGAAAAACTGAAAAGCAAAGAGGCTGAATTTACTTTCTCTTCAGTCCTAGAGACTAAACATTAGGGATGGTCAGTCATATTATTTTATTATCTTAATCAAGATGTATCTATTCTCTTTCTATGCATTTCAGATCAAAATATTCTAAAATTAAACCTTACTGTAAACCAACGATTTTTTGTTTGGAAAAACAAATGTCACAGTTTTTTAGAACAACAAAAGGAGGCTGAATTTACCCAGGCCTTTCATGGCCTTCCGCAGAGCTTCTGCATCAGCCCGCTCATCAAATCCCAGGAAGTCAGTCACGGTGCCTTTGAGAACCTGAGACAGGAAACAGTGAGATTATTCACAGCACGACTAATACGACAAAGCAAATAACATAGCCAGCAAGCTGCTTGCTCTGTATCGTGTTCGGTCTTTAAATAAATTTACCATTTGATAAGATCTATAACCCCATTTGAAGTGGGAAGTGTGGATGAGCAGGACCAATTCAGTGCACAAGCCACTGGGGCCCACCCGCAGCATCAGAGGGCCTCCCCAGGCCCCCTTCCCTTGGGCATCACCCCAGTGACCAAGCCGCAGCAACATCCCTCGGTTCATGGAGGGCGTTCCTTGCAGGTTCTTTCCCACTAAGTCTCTCGCCACTTTCATCTAGGAGCAGCTGAGCCTGCATTAAAACTTGATGCCCACCCTGCGCACTGAACTCTGAGCAGTGCTCTTCTTACAGGACTTCCCTCTAGTCCCGTTTCTTTATATTTACTTATGGATTTTAAGATAACCTGGCACAGCATGAAAAGAGATTTGCTAGTTCATGTGCCAGAAGAATACAAATCTTTTCATTCAGAACTTGATAAAGGTATATTGGAAGATATTTTTATAAAGTTTCCTGTTACACACTATTTTATCATATAAAGTGCTCTTAATCATCAAAATATAGTACCGTTTCTCAAAAAAAATTGTAATATCATTAGATCTTTAGAATCAGAAGGCTTTACTGATCCTGAGTCATAAATTTTTATCTATGATAAAGGGAGGCCCCAAGCATTTACTTTTACCAACAAATGTTTTTGAAGTCCCTCAAAACTCCTGTTAAGGTTCCACCTAAGACTGAGGAACAAGAGCTCTAAGGGGGTGAGGTTGAGAATACCTGTCTGGTTTACAATCACGTATTTTGTTATGAATGCCTGGAAGCACAATCACCTACAAAGAAAAAAATTTCTCTTCCCCCTCAGCCTCCAATCACTGCACTTGCCAACAATATCATAATGCCAACCAAATAAAAAGAGATGACAACAGAGAGAGAGAGCCATGGGGAAGAACTTCTACAGGTCACAGAGCCAAAGGTCAGCTCAGTGACCTTCTCTCTTCACTGGCACTAAATTATGCCTCCTGAAAAGGGAGCACTCAGGGACGCAGGAGACAGTGACAAAGATTCTCTCCTTGACCAAACTGCAGACAGGCTCCTCTGAGCTCACTTTTCGACTAGGCCTCATCCTCAGCCTGCCTGCTAGCCCAGTTGTAGCAAGAATCCTACTAAGTCAGTTTAGGGAGAATTCCCCAACCCTTGATAACTGGTAGAGTCCCGCATCCCCCATCTTTAATGTATAAGTCCGTGGGCTGCCTTTAGCAAGAATCCTATTAGGCCAGTTTAGCAGGAATCCCCCTACACTTGATGGCTCCTCTTAGTAACTTTCCATCCACTGACCTCCTCCCCCTGCTGGCTGGCTATAAATCCCCAGCTGTATTTGCTATATTCATATCTGAACCCAATCTCTCTTCCCTATTACAATAGTCATGACTCTATTGCAAGAGTCTTGAACAAAACCTTCCTTACCGTTTTAACAAGTGTCAGAATAACTTTTTCTTTAAAGTGGTCCTTCCTCTTGTTCAAGGAAAGAAGGAAGGTTGTTCTTTCCTCTGAACAAAGAGTCAGCCATGAGAGAACCTACAAGAAAGCCTCAGCGCTGTGATTATGAGGCCAAAAGAACACAATCCAAGAGGAGGGGTGTTTCTCAGTTTGGTCTCCCAGCCCTAGAGCGCTGACTTCCCTCTGTCTGTAGCAGCTGTCATTCCTTCCTTCCCTGAGCTAAACAAAGGACTGGAGCCAACTCAGAAGAGGAGAGGGAGGATAAAGTCTCGCTCCCACTTATTTCATGGGAAAGGTCAGGAAACTAAGCCAGAGCTCTTCATTCTACCAAGTAGAAAATCCACCCACGGCCAGGCTAGTCTTCATTTCCACCCTATTTATAAAAAACACAGATGCTTAAAAACCAACAAATTCCCTTCCACTAATCCTATAGCTTGAGCCACATGAAACTGATGGTTGAATACTGGCAATTTCATATGGTTCAACATAATTAAAAGGATGAATAGGTCGGGAAAGAAATTACTAAGATTTGAGAAGACGACCCTTCAAAATCAGCATGGGTTGGGAAAGTTATATCTCTCAAGTCAAACTGTAGTTTCTCTATTTAGTGGGACCACTTCAAATGGATTATAAAGATACCATCAATATTACTGTAAAAATGACTAAATACCCCAGGTGCTCTCAATGTGAGAACTTAGTACTGACATGACTTAGTTCGCCTGTTTATTCATTCACTCAACAACCATTTTTTTAATGCCTTCCACGTGCCAAGTATTGTACTCATCACTAGGAAAACATCATGACTGAAAAGTCAAGAGAGAATGACAGGCACGTAAAGAATCAAGTACAGTAGAGTATATACACACAGAGGTTTGATCAGGGTGATATGAGCACACACAGGAGGGACTTGGTTGGGAAGGGTATAAAGAAAAGAAATCAGAAAAACCTCCCAAAAATGTCTTGAACGTTGCCTGTGACTTTCCCAGGCAGGTTCAGGAAAGTAAAGAAGAGCAGGAAGTTACTTCAGCGTGCACAGAAACATGGAAGAATGAAACAATCTGGCGCTATGGACAAAGGGTTAAGTATTTCAACAGACTGGAACAAGCCGTAAGTTGGAGAGAAAAACAACAAGGGGAAGGTCTCAGAGGGGAGCAAGGCGGGGCTCGAAAGCCAGGCTAGGAAGTGCAGACTTCATGCTGGAGGCAAGGGAAGCCCTGAGAGGACATTTAAGCAGGGAAGAACGTCACCTCTGCACAGTGATATTACTGGGGCAGCAGTGGAGACAATGGCACGGACCGTGCAACCAGTGGAGACAGGATGACTGTTTAAAAACTACTAAGAAGAAGATAAAGAAGAACTGATCTAAGCCAGGAGCAGTGGAAATGGACAAAAGAAGACAGACAGGAACGGGGTCAGGGCAGAAGGGAACCATTTAGGATGATTCCATTTTTGGACGAGGAACAGGATGGCTGGTTTTGCATTTCTCCACAGCAGGCGTCTTGGAAGAGAAGCAGGCTTGTTGGTTACGGGGACACAGAGGTGCTCACTGGAGCCGTGCGAGGAGGCTATCAAGCAAGGCAATATTAATGGGGGGAAAAGAAAAGCCAAAGGAGAAGGGAAGGTCACCTACAATCAGAATGGCAGCTAGTATCTGCTGAGGGCGGCAGTGAGCCAGGCACTGTGCTCGGAGCTTCATATGGATCATCCCAGTGAAACCTCATTTGACAGATGAAGAAACACACTGGCTTAGAGAGGTCTGGCGAAGCTCCCAGGTGACCAGCAAGCAGCAGAGCTGGGCCTTGAACACAGGCCATGAGAACTTGGGCTCTTAACCACAATGCTACTCGGCCTCCCAAAAGCAAAGAGAAAATCCAAAGAGGGTGACGGCATCAAAACCGAAGGAGAAAGATGTTCCAAGAGGAAAGAGAGAAAAGGCAGTGTGCAGCACCACAGGGAAGTCAAGTAAGAGGTAAGACGGAGAAAGGTCCCCTGGATTGGGCACCTAGGAGGTCTTCGGTGGCAGAGAAGTCCTGATTGTAGGACCCTGAAGGGTGAATGGAGAGCATCGCATGTGCTCCCATTTTACTAATGATGGTTTTTTAAAAACACACTTTATCCAGTTTGTAGGCTGTGAAGACGCAGCTAGTAGACAGAGAAGTTAAAAACAAAGGACAGGTCAAGAACAGAGAAGATGAGAGAGATTTGCCTTCAAGAGACATCTGAACTCTGAGACTGAAAGAAATGATGGGAAAGATGGAAGGAAGAGAAGGATCCTCAGAATCTCAGCTACTAACTATGAAGAAGAAATAACTGCTGGTTGTATTTTTGAGAGCTTTCCAGAAATTGGGAAATACTTTTGTTATACTCCATTCGATCAGTCATGGTGAGAGCTAGGAAAGCCACGCAGCGGTATTAGGGACCAGACATGACACAGATGTGAGTCATAAGGGCAGAACCCTTGTTTGGACATCCTGTCCAAACCACATCCCTGCCCACACAAAACGGTCTGCTCTGGGCCAATGTGACTTGACATGACTCACAGGAGGGCTTCCCTGCTTCCTGAAGTCCCCTCTGGCCTCAAGTTAAACACTCACACCTTACCCAGGTTAACTCCACCTACAAGGAGGTACCGTTCCCTTCACCCAGCCTCAGCTTGTCCTCGTTCCCTTTATCCCCTGCCACCCCTGCCTTACCAAGGGAATTATTACCTATTCTCAGACAATACGGGGCCAAAACATATAATTCACTCTTTTAACTCTCACCTTCCAAGTTATCCATTCTTCTAGCTCTATAATTTTGTCAGCTTTTTTTGTTTGTTTGTTTGCCCTAAATGAAAGAGTTCTTGTCCTTCAAGGACTGGGTATGCCAAAATAAAATGAATAAAATGAAATCAAAAACAAGTGAAGGCTGCTTTTCTAGACACAGAATTAAAGACACAGGAAAATAATACAGAAATAACAACTTCAAACTTAAAGATGAGAAAGCAGTCACCTGTCTGGAACATTTTAAACTGAAGCTTTCCTGAAGGCACAGAGAACTAAATCCTCTCTGAATTTGTCTTCCAGTTCAATGAAACCAATATAATCAAACACCTACCCAATGGCCCCCATATACTAATCAGAAGCCAGAAATGATACAGCAAACTACTATAGCTGAGCAACTGCTAAGCAGCTGTACAGTGATTTTTAAGTATGGTTTTTTTGAGGCTCAAGTTCACCCTCTGGGGCCACCAGGAAAGATGGGGAGTGGGGAGACCAAATGGACAGAGTTCCCCCTTCCCTCTCCAGTCACAGCAGTTCAGGTCTTAGCTGATGGACACAGTACAGGTCCATTAACATTTCCTTTGATAATGGGCCCCACTGATGAGCAAAGAAAAAAAAACTGAAAATCACTGTACTAAGAAAGAAATGAGATGAGCCAAAAAAGAGAGAAAAGCCAGCGTGACACGATTATG